ATTTCCGCATGGCTGGCAAGGCAACTCCCACAGAACACGCAGCCTGCGGTATCGTCCGTACTCTAGCAGAGAAGCGCCTCCATGGTCGACCGCTGCAGCGTGACGCCTTAGAACCGGAAGACATTGCGGCCCTGGCTCGCTTAGTCGAGGGCCCAGAGGTGCGGCTCGACTACCTGATGATGGTGGCAGCGGTGGCCATCATGTTTGCTGGTTTCTTTCGGTTCGACGATGCTGCCGAAATTTGCGTGCATGTGGACTTGCTGTTGATTTCTGCATCCCACATGGAGATCTTCATTCCCCGCTCGAAGACAGATCAGCTCATGCGGGGCCACTGGGTAGTCATCGCACGCTCCGGTGGCCCATGCTGTCCAGTCGGTCTTACCGAGCGTTTGCTGGAGCTAGGTGGCTACCGCAGACAGCCAGTATCAGTAGATGAAGATGTAGGACCGCTCCTCTGACCGGTTCAATGGACGCAACGTGGCGGGTATCTCTCGGGTCCTCTGACCGGTACACGAGAAGCTCCAGTGCATTCGCTGTCCTACGCGGCTTTCCGCACACGACTGTTAAAAATGGTACCCTTGGCTGGCATCAAGAGAAACATTATGGCACACTCCATGCGTATAGGCGGGAACAGCATGGCAGCGGACCGTGGAGTGCCAGCGGAACTGCGCAAGGCTCACGGCCGTTGGCGCACGGACGCCATGGTACAGCACTACATGCGGCACGACACTGCAGCCAAACTCGAAGTCTCCCGCCGCCTAGGCCTCGCCGGTGAGTGGGTATCTCTTCGGTCTGCAGTGTAAGGGCCCTTGGCAGCCTGTCTCCCGGTTTTCCGCCTCTATCATTCCTCACACTGTCAGCCAGCATGTTCGAGTCGACATAGCCATGAGAATACGGTTAAGGGAGACAGGAGCACAGAATTGTTGACTTAGATACGACGGAGCGAAGCGATCGGAGTCTCTAAGTCTGGTTCTGTGCGACTGTCGTACAACCGTATTGGAATGGCGAGTACTAATTGCTTCAGCTCTTTCGTTTCAGGCATTCTGCCTTTCACTCAGTAGAGCTTCAGCTTGTAGCTGACAGCTTCCCGCCCACCTTCCCCCTTCGCTTCGGGGTCGATATCTCTTCGTTCACCCCTCCCCTCTTTTTTCCTTCTTCACTGACCAGTTTCAGGCACCTCCGCACCGGGCTCGGCTAGCGGCGGACAGGTAGACGATGCCCGCTGAGGAGTGGCTTGTCAGCAGGCGGGCCGACAGCAGAGACTTGAGCCGTTCTGGCTGCAGTTGGGTCGTTTTAGCCTTGATGAGTGGTCTTGGGAGTCCGTGGAGAGGGCGCTCTTCGCTTCGGTTCAGTCGGTCTCCGGGTCGGGCTTTAGCACGTTAGGGTCGCCGTTTTTGTGTCTGGTAGTGGTGGTCGTTGGGCGTCCTTTGGCCTAGCGTCTCGTGTAGTCTGTCGCGCGCGCGTGTTTTTCCCTGGGGGTGTGTGTGTTGTTGGCCGCGCGGTACCGGTGCGGTGGCCGTAGGGGCCGCTTTCGCGCGTGTAAGGGCCCTTGGCAGCCTGTCTCCCGGTTTTCCGCCTCTATCATTCCTCGCACTGTCAGCCAGCATGTTCGAGTCGACATAGCCATGAGAATACGGTTAAGGGAGACAGGAGCACAGAACAGCACTGCTGCAACAAGCACAGCTCTCACCACGTTGGCACTACCCATCAATTATCACACATGCCGCCCTAGCACCGGCCTGTACGGATATATGCAGGGGGGGCCCGCCCTTTTCCGGCTCTGAGGAAAGCCGGCGGGCTTGCAGAGGTAGCCCAATAACGAAAATGCTACAGCTCCAAAATATATGTACAGTAGGCGTGGTAGGTGAGCCCCGGAACCCGGCATGCACTGTGCACCGATGACCTAGAGCACAACTGTTGCACGCAACGCGTCTGCTGCGACTGTTGCGTTTGTCGCTCTTGTCGCCATTGTAGCGGCTGTCGCCATTGTAGCGGCTGTCGCCGTTGTCGCCGTTGTCGCCGTTGTCGCGACTGTCGCCGTTGTGGCAGTTGTTGCCGTTGTGGCAGTTGTCGCCGTTGTCGCCGTTGTGGCAGTTGTAGCGGTTGTGGCTGTTATTGCATCAGGGACGACTGTCGTACAGCTGCAGGAAAATGGGGCCCCTTAGCTCAGCTGGTTAGAGCGTGGTGCTAATAGCCATGGGCACGCCAAGGTCATCGGTTCGATCCCGATAGGGGCCACAGAGGAGCGGAAATCTTGCTGCTTGAGGAGGAGGAGGTGGCACAAGCGAATGTGTATGGGCGGGGATGCTGCTCATGTGCATGACGATGCGGATAAGTGGCAGCTCCAGGTGAAGCAAAAGGACTGAGACGGGCTCTTGCAGCCCATGCTTATTGGTCATTTATGCAGACAAACGCCCAGCATCGACATCCTCATGGCTGGTCAGCAGCAGAGTGGCACGGCTCACACTGCATGACAGTCCAGCTCTAGCTAGCAATGCTACCAGGTGCATGCTGGTCTACGGCGAAACAACGCCACCGGGACATTCATGCCAACCCCAACCCCAAAAAACATGTGCCACAAGCTATAGCTTATGTCGACGCACGTTGGCCACGTGAAGCCACCTAAAAGTGCTGTGAGGAAGCTGTGACACCAAGAATTGCTTGGATGCATTCAACACATAGGGGATCACAGCCGGGAGCGCATAAGCAGCACAGCTCCCATATGTTGAGCTCTCACGTATGCCGGTCATCAGCTGAAATAGATTTGGTACTTTAAAAGAGAGAAGCCAGAGGCCAGCTAGATAGCGGGTGGGTTTCCATCCTCGGTCACTTGCTCGCTAGACCCTCTGCGTGAGTCCCTTTGACAGCCAGCTACCCACGCAGCAGCCAGCCACCCCTTGACCCAGGTTTTGGGCGGGGCCCCAGCGTGAAGCGCCCAGGGGGGCCCC